TCTTGTATACTCTTGAGGTTAGGGAATTTTCTTAATTTTCTATTCAAAGTATTGGAGTCAATTAAGAATCATTTTCAATAATTAATTACTTGATAAAATTTTTAAGGCTTAATGAATAACATGAAATTGAGTTGGTACCATTTTTCGATAGGCGTTGTGAGGGTGTTATAACCTTCCTTACATGTAACCAGACTCCCAGACATAGTTCTGATTTTGTAGACATTGAATCTACCTTTAAAATATACCTAAGTCAGATTTAGGACTTTTTTTAAAAAAGGGACAGATTCAGTCAGGTGACCAATCGCACCTAAACAAAAAAAAGATTGGTGACGACTCTATAGGTCAATGTCTAGTAATAGGTCCATGGATCTAGACGTTATGATAATAAGTAAAAGAAAACTAAAATAAAAGGCAAAAAAACTTTTCAATGCAAATAGGTCGAGTTGCAAATAGAGACAATATATAGATCAATATGCAAGTTACGCCACCCTCATCTTCTAAAACAGCTTCATTTCAACTTGTTATAGAAATAAAAAAAAAATATTTTTTTAATTTCTTTTTTTATCCTCTCTCATTCTCATTTTTCTTGTATTTCTCTTCACAAGTCTCATTCAACAAACTTATATTTCAACGGGATTTCTAAAAATTAATTATTGAAAAATTCAACGATCATAAAAAAAATTTATCAAAAAAATATAAAAATCGTTAATACCCAAAAATTGATTAGAGTTGAATTCTTAAAATTTTTCCAAATTTTGAAAAAATAGAATGTTTATAATTGCTTTTATTGTCGATTGTGTATTTAGGTTTGTTAATTTTGGGTTTCTTGACCTAACTTTTACATTTATGTCATTTTAAAAGTTTTTTTTTTTTTTATCTTTTATCTATTTTTTTATATTTCAAAAATATTAGAAATAAAAAATAAATAAATGAAAATTTCAAAATAAATAAATAAATAAATAAAAGATAAAGAAAAAGATATAATTTAGTTTATGTTGGGTTTATAATCTAATTTGATATTAACCCAATTTGTCAAATTAAGTCCAATTAAATATTCAAAAAATTATTATCTTAATATGAAAAATAATGTCACGATTGAATTAATAATTTATGTTTTTTATATGTTATTTTAGGTCAAATCTTAAATTTGATAATTAATTGATGTATAGGAATCAAATTTGAACATACATTAAGGTAAAATGACTAATTTCACAATTTAACAAAATTATAGGGATAAACCGTATAATTTAAAAAAAGTTGGCGTGGAAAAATGATGAAGTATTAAAGAATTTGCCACATTGAGATAGAGTAACTAATTCCATTATTTAACTAAAGTATAAATATCTGTTGTATAATTTGACCTAAATAAATACATAAAAGGCTAAAGGGCCAAAAATGCCCTTGAATTATAATTTAATAATTATTTAAACTTTTAAAATTTTATTGCAATCAATCAAATTTTTAATTTTCTATTTCGACTAAATTGAACTCTTAAATAAATGAAATCTAATCATGTGACAAATTTAATCAATCAATTCTTAAAATATAGTCAATTGAATCTTAAAGGGATCTTAAAAAGAAAGATAAAGAAAATATAGAGGAAAAAAGAAACAAAAAAAAAAGTAGAAAAGCTTATTTTATTTAATTTTCATATATATCTATATATATATATATATATATTACTTCACGCGACAAAGTTTCATCGATTTTGTTGATCTCACATGAAATTTTATCTGAGTTGGTAAAAAATTTAATGATGTTAACTTTTTCATTCAAATAAAAGTTTAGTTGGATGCAAACAAATGTTAAAAAGGTTGATTGATTGCAATTAAAACAAAAAGGTTTGGCTAATCTTTTAATTATAATTCAAAATCTTTTTATACCCTTTAGACTACATAAAAAAATAATTTTAATAATTTTCAGTTACTTATTAATTTCAAAATGTCTAATAATTTAAAATTTCTATTATATATAAAGTTTAATATAATATCCTTAATAATCATTTTCTTTTTTCATTATATTTTACTGTTACTGCTACATTTGTATTCAAACATATATTTCACCATTGATTTTAATCTTACTTCTACAGTAACTAATCTCACTGTCATTATTGGTTTCAATCTCATCGGAACAATCTCATCACCCATCCAAAAAGCCAATAGGCGATGAGATTGATTCCAATGAGATTGAAAACAATGATGGAGATGAGACTAGTTAATGTAATAGTAAGATTAAAATAAGTTGTGAGAATATGTATTTAAATGCAAATGCAATAATATCAGTTAGATAAATTATAATAAGAAGAAAATGATCATTATGAATATTAAATTAAAAATAACATGTAATAAAAAATTTAACTTATTTAATGCTTATAAAATTAATAAATTATTAAAAAATATTAAATTATTTTATGTCAAATAATAATTTATTACTAAATAATTAAAAATGAGTAATAATAATACATTAAATAATTTTTTTATTATATTAAATTAATAAAATTATTTCTTGACATAAACATCAACAAAATTATTTTAAAATTTTTAAATAAACAAAAGGAAAAGCTTGAAATGTAAAGATATTTTTATTTTTATAGTACAATTGTAAAGATAAAGAAGTAACAAGAGAAAGAGGGAATGGTGCATTTACTAACTATACTAAAGAAGTTTAGTGAAAAAAAGCATTAAATAGTGCTAAATAGTGAAATCCAAATACAAATTCGGTGCATTTAGATAACTTTTTATGCAAAAAGCAACTCCACCGAGGATACGTTTACATCCAAATGGGCTCTAAGACCAAACAAATATTGGCATTCATGTGAATTTAAAAAAAAAAAAAAAAACATATCATAGGTTCAAATTTCAAATTTGTGAAATGTATATTAGGAAAAAAAAAAAACCTTGCAAATAATATATTTGTTTGGATCAGATACTCATTTGCTTTATGTATTATATATTTTTATTAGTTTAATACTTAAAAAATTTTATAATATAATTGTAAAGATAAAGAAGTGAAAAAAGAAAGAGGGAATGGTGCATTTATTATCTGTACCAAAGAAGTCCAGTGAAAAAAAGCACCAAATCGTGCTGAGCAATGAAATCCAAATACAAATTTGATGCGTTTAACACAATTTTTTTATGCAAAAAGCAATCCCGGATATGTTTACATCCAAACGGACTCTAAGACCAAATAAATATTGACATTCATGTGAATTTTGAGAAAAAATATATCATAAGTTCAAAAAAAAACCCTTGCAAATATATTTGTTCCGTTAAATACTTATTTGATTCTTGTATTATATATTTTTTTTGTTAGTTTAATATTTAAAAAAATAAAATTATCAATTTGATATTTTAATTTTTTTTCATCATTTATTTTGATATTTGGACTAACGTTATTAATAAACTCGTTAATATAACATGAATAATCAATACGATGCTAACACAGATAAAAAAATCCAATCAATGTTATATTACCAATACGTTAGAATTAAAAGAAAATTTTAAATTTTATTTTAAATTTTTTAAGAATATGAAATATTTTAAAAATTATAAAACTTATGAAATTATGAAATTTTAAAATTTTAAAATTTTCAAAAAATCTAAAAAAATTACTTAAAACACCAAAAATTATGAAAAATTCAACAAAAATAAAAATTCTTAAAATTCAGAAAAATTCACAAAACTTAAAAAAAAAAACTGAAAATTTAAATAAAATTTACAATTTTTTGAAAAAAATGTAAACATTAAAAAATAATTTTCCGTACAAGGACCAAATGTGTATTTATTTGTATTTGTTTCCTACTCGGCCAGTGAATAAAAATGCATCTTCCCATACTTAGTCAAGTTCTGATGCATCTTCCGGTCGCTGTTTTTTCAGTCATTCAACTACAGTCCATCCTTTTTTTTTTTTCCCGGCAGAGCAACTAGATCATGTGCCATGGGATTCTGGAGAAAGGTAGCAATTGCTCATTTCCAATGGAACAAAAATCGGAGAGATCATTGTGCTTTCGGATATGATCGGAAGTTATTGGTACCGCGGAAGCATTAACTTCCATGCAACTTAAGGAGACAAATGTAAGTTGAAACCATGAAAATTGTCTAGGAAAACACACTTGAAATGGTAGATCAGGGAACATTGTTATGGGATGCTAAATGGATGTTCTGCGGCCTTGGATCTTGAGATTAATTCCCAGTGGACATTTGAACATATTCATGCATGGTACAAATGATGCATATATCAGCAGGGCAGATCCTTGTTTGTTCAACGATCGAGGGAATGAGATTGAGGTAGGACCACTACAACTAACTTGAAATTCAAAAACGTGGAGAATGAAGCTATACATTTTTCTTCCACAATTCCTCTTATCTATGACAGAGTTGCTAACTTGAAGAATCAATCTTAACATCTCAAATGTTTGATTATTTCATGTCAATTGCCGCTAATTAACATTTTGAAGTTAATTAAGTAACTTCATAGAGGCGTAGGGAGCCCGAGATCTAAGGAAAGTGTAATCATCACCACGGCGTGGAAGCATTGACATATCATTTCAGAGCAATGAACCTACATGTCTTCCCAAGAAAATCTCGACTGTACTGAAGAAACCTAAACTGGTTGCCTGCATTGGACGAAGTTGACGAATCTGCTGACTTGAATTAAGAGTTCAGCACTCCACCAACAGTATGCACTATCTTCTTATTTTTACACTCCATATAATAATGCTGAATGAACACTCTAGGATCAGTTTAAAAGACAAAACTGTACACTTCAAACTACATTAAGCATAAGTAAATTGACATCATATCCTTTGACTTACGCAAAATAGATTTCCTCGTTTAAAATCACAAACTCACTTTTGTATGTACAAGGAACCTGGCCAATCTTGTCATTTTAGAGTCCAAAGTAGTTATTTCTCTGATGTCATATAGACTGGTGCATAAACCAAATACTTTAAAAGCCGTACAGTTTAGTCCTTAACTGCAAAACCCACTAACTTTCCTCCAATGAAGAAATCTATATTCTCAATATTGATATTTATGGTCGTACTACTATTATTTGCAGGGTGTGCAGCTGCCATAGTGCGTTGTGGTAATTGTGGCCGCATTCCAGTGCCTTACCCGCTTAGCACTGGGCCTAATTGCGGTGATCAAGCGTATAAGATTAGGTGCACGGCAGGGGAACTCTGGTTTGATGCTCTGAAAGGATCTTACATGATCATATCCATCAACCCCTTGACCCAGCGGATAATTCTTCGCCCCCCAAGTCTTTCTGCTAACACTTGCATTTCAAGCGATATCAGCACACAAGGAATCCAGCTTGATGATAATCTTCCCTTCAACATCACTAGTAGTAATACCTTTTTGTTGCTTAACTGTACGGACGCAATGTTGCACTTGCAAGCACCCATAAATTGTACATCAACAAGCATATGTCACAACTACATCAAGGATAATGCAGTCGCATGCATGAGGACTCCATTGTGTTGTATGTTCAAAACTGGTGGATCACATACTGCATATATAGTGAGGGTCCATGATGGAGGTTGTCTAGCATATCAGAGCTTTGTGAACTTTGACACTGTCAATCCTCCAAAGAAATGGCCTCAGCCTGGTTTGGAGATAGAGTGGGCAATGCCACAGGAACCGGTTTGCAAGACACCAATAGATTGCAAGAACTTGATGCATTCGAGGTGCTTGGATGATCTTATGAATATGGGATCAATGAGGTGCTTGTGCAACAAAGGGTTTTGGTGGGATCCTATCAACGGATTATGTCAAAGTAAGTAACTATTTCCCCTTGATTGTGAATAAACCCAAAGTAGAATACAGCAACAAGCAAAAAAGGAATAAATTTCATCTCTTGAATGGGCACCAATGACTCAAAAACAGCTGTTAGTTCTTACTATTCCATGTGGCCACAAGTATTAAGATACTATCTTCTCTTTGTTTAGGTGCAAGATGCCGACCAGGGAAACGGTGCATAAACCAAAAGAAGCAGACAGTGCTAATTTGTGGTATGTGCCGGCATTCACATATAAACTCATGATATGGTAACCTCTGTTTCACATTTCCGAGTTTTACTGAATTTGCACAGCCCTTTTTTTTTTCTCCAGAATTAGAAAAAAAAAATTCATAAGGTAAAGGCAAGCAAATCAAATGAAAATGTGTTTAAATTCTACCAGACTCTACCAGGATATTTTGCCAAGTAGTGTTTGTGATGGTAACCGTATGTTTTTTCAGGCATGGCAGTTGCACTAGGAGGAGTTTCACTTGCTATAATGATTGGAATTCTAGTGTACAAACAACGTCAGCGCGTAAAAAAAGAATTGCAGAAGAATCTAATTAAGGAGAGGGAAGAAATGCTAAATGCCAAAAACAACGGCAAATCAGCCAGGGTCTTCACTGGCAAAGAAATAACAAGAGCAACCAATAACTTCTCTCCAGCAAACCTCATAGGATCCGGAGGTTTTGGTGAGGTCTTCAAGGGCATTCTTGATGATGGAACTATAACAGCCATCAAACGTGCAAAGCTTGGGAACACTAAAGGAACTGATCAAGTCCTCAATGAGGTTCGAATTCTTTGCCAGGTGAATCATAGATGCCTGGTAAGACTCCTTGGTTGTTCTGTTGAGCTTGACCAACCTGTCATGATATACGAGTTCATACCCAATGGAACCTTGTTTGATCACCTCCATTGTCATCTTTCTGGTAAATATGCTCCCCTCACGTGGCGATGTAGGCTCCGCATTGCTCACCAGACTGCAGAAGGTCTTGCTTATCTCCACTTTGCAGCAGTGCCTCCCATTTACCATCGTGATGTGAAATCAAGTAACATTTTACTTGATGAAAAACTTAATGCCAAAGTTTCGGACTTTGGGCTGTCCAGGCTAGTTGAGAGAACAGAAGCCGGTGATAGTCACATCAATACCTCTGCTCAAGGTACCCTTGGATATCTTGACCCAGAATATTATCGTAGCTTTCAGCTTACTGATAAAAGTGACGTTTATAGCTTTGGGGTTGTGCTTCTTGAGCTCTTGACTTCTAAGAAGGTTACAGATTTTAACAGAGAAGACGAGAACGTGAATTTGGTGGTTTACATGAAAAATATAATGGATGAAGAGAGACTAATGGATGTAGTTGATCCAGTGATCAAAGAAGGAGCTACAAAGTTAGAACTGGAAACAATTGAAGCATTGGGGCTACTTGCAGCATCATGTTTGGATGAAAAGAGACACAACCGACCTTCCATGAAGGAAGTTGCTGATGAGATTGAATATATTATGAGCATTGCCACCGGTGAGGTTTCTCAGATGTAAATGTGATGATCCGCAAAGCCATGGTTTCTGGTTGACTTGTTGTTATAGTTCCCAATCAATTGTAAAAGTAAAAACATCACTACTTTGAATTACTTTAAGATGACAAGTAAAACTGAAAGCAATTTAATTTTACAAACAATTAGATGTGTAGTACCATGTGATCATACCGACACTAAGAATTGGGGCCACATCAACATAGCATTGGGTATCAACAAAACACTAAGAATTGTTCGCTCAATAATATATAACTAAAGCCAGAGTTTATCTATCAATTCATTTTTCCTAACTAATATACAACCCAAATTTGCAGTTTGCATTGTAAATCATATTTTGCAGAACATAAAAAAGTCGAACAATGACATTTCGATATTGGGGTTCAATCCCCACAATTATACACTATAGACTACTGCAACAAGATATCATACATTTTTAAGTAATCATAGACCCAAAGAGTTCAAAGAGCATGTTAATAAAATCAACATAAGACTAACCAGAGGGGATTCAAGAAAGCAAAAGACTCTTGGTTTTTGCAGTACCATTCAAAAGAAACAGCATTCATGCTCATAGTTAGAATTACTGCCCTAATAACTAGGATGATATAGACCTTCCCAGGATTTTAAGGAACAGCATAGATCTATTTTGATCTTGGTAAGGACCATTCAACTTTGAGGATCAGATTGTCATATCCATATCCATTTAGACTGTTAATGGCTCTCTCTGCATCTTCCTTCTTAACGAAACTGACAAAAGCAAAACCTCGGTTCAAACGAGTCCGGTAATCAGGCGCAACAAAGACACGAGCTATCGGTCCAAATGGGCGGAAAAGCTCATGTAAATCACTCTCTTGAGCATCCAGTGAGAGGTTGGTGACCCTGATTGAATTCTCTTCATTCCTGCGCCTCATATCTGTGCCAATAATCTTTTTGGCACCTTCTCTCGTACTTGGAGGAACATAGCTGTTTTTGCTGGTTTCAGAAAAAGCTGCAGCCCCATCTTCTGAAGAAGGCCTTTCATGTTTCAATGGTTCACTTTGTGGTGCAAGATCCTTATAAGGGCACCTGCAAGTAAAGTGGTCATATTTTTTGCCACAAGTCCTACACGACATAAGAAAACCTGCTCTCTTTCCCAGTCGGCCCAAAGCTTCCCTTGCTTTAGTTTCATCTACTTCTCTTCCTGTTAATAATTAAAATATTGAGAAAGGCAAGTAGAGAGGAAATTTAAACATCAATGGAGTAGAAATTCAAAAATCCGGTACCAATCTTTAGTCACTACTTACCACTCAATGTTCTTTGTCAAGTTTGCCAAAGAAATTTTTGTAATTAGAGAAATATGGCAATGAATCCGTGTATGGTTAGCCTAACTTGGAATCAAAGGTCATAACTTTTTTAATCATATAAAAGAAGTGTGGTATAGGACTTAATGATTCTTGCTAAATCTAAAATCCAAATCTTTGCCCAATTTCCCTTATAAAGCCCCAAAACTCAATAGAACTAGGCCTCGCTACTAGCTAGTCATTGCATTGATTGTTTCCCATGCATGCTAAGGTTTTCTTGAAAAGCAAGATGCAGCAAAATTTTATAAGCCACAAAAGATAGCATGTAGATTTTTTTTTCCATTAAATTGTATGAATTAGAAACAAGCATTGAAAAACTCGTGGTTAGAGATTTTTTGTTAATAAAAACAAGAACAAGAATGCAATCTTGAGAACAAACAACGATATATATTAACAAGGTAACATTTTTCATCCAGAAAAGAAAAGAATCCAACCGCACAACACATCTAAATCAATAAATAAACCAGAAAGGTCTCTGCTTTCTTGATAGTAAACCTTAAGGTTATAAAGAAGCAATAGAAATCAATAACAAGAACAAGAAAAGTTCCAACCTTTAACCATAGACCTTTCAAGGAAAATCTCCTCAGTAGAGACCATAGTAATCCTGCTACCAACTTCTTCATCCACTGCATCACCAAACTTAGCCCATGACCTTCTTTCAATTGCTCCCTTACGCATCTTGGTACCAACCTTGCGAACATGAAAGGTGGATGTGACTTTAACCATGTTACCAGCTTCATTGAACTTGTACTCTATGACTTTCTTTATTCCATTCTCGTCCGGGCCAATGACTTGGCGTGGAGGGAGAGGGAATAAGGTAAGGTCATCCGCGTTGTCTTCATTTTCCATCTGATCAGCCCAACTGAGCTTCTTCGGGTCTGCCTCAGTAGCCATGGTTTGACGGTTGACACATTCCTGTTGGTTGGTTTATTTTGTTTGACTGGTATTGGAAGGGTTTTAGGGTGGCAAGATTGCACGAAAAGTGGTTGTAAATACCCCACTTAAATTTCTTTGGGGAATTGGAATTCTATTTACATCTCATTTACTTTATATATACACTCCTCTTTTTTATACATCTTAAATTCAAAATTAAATTTTCTATTTCTATTAAATACACCTCATCTCTTACTTTTTATTTTTTATTCCTACCATTTCTCTCTTCTTCTCTATTCACTTCCTGAAATTGAGTTTTTTAGAAATAACTATCCGAAAAATTTTGAAACTTTTCAAAAATAGATATTAGAAAAACTTTAAGAATTATCAGATATTCATTTTTAATAGACCTTAAAACTTTTTGGATATATATTTTTGAAAAACCTTATAATTTCTCGAATATTTATTTTCGAGAAGCTTTGAGTCTTCTTAAAAATAGATATATGAGAGGATACGAGGTTTCTCAAATATTTATATTCGAGAAACTTCATTTTATTTTTAATAAAAAATTTTAATCATGCGCTTATAAACTTCTTTAATTGATTATATATGTGAATGAAATTGAAATCGATGTTCTTAACATATATGGGATAAAACTGTTCTTTCTCTTAAGCTTTCAAAAAATCGAGAACACCTTAATCATTTTTATCTCATGCATGCTTGAGATCTTGGTCTTTTTCATTTGAACATATGATCAAATAAGAATGGGCACATTAATGACTCATATGTGTACTTGCATGCTAGTCCGAACTTGAATACCCTATAGAACATTGTCGCTAATAATATCATCAACAGATTAACAAATTCGACAGTATCTAATCTTTCGACCATCAATCTTTACTATCAAATTTATCAGTCTATTGATAATATTTTTCAATAACTTAAAGATTAGAAATCTCGATTTTTTTATTATCAAGAGTTTATAATTAAATATATATTTAAAAAATTTTATGCATTCTCAAAAATGGATTTTCAAGAATATAAAATGATTCTTGAAAATCCATTTTTGATAAAGCAAATAATTCTCATAAATGGATTTTCCAACATATGTGTTTCGTTCTAGGTAATCTATTTTAGAAAATTATATTATTTTCTCGAAATTAAATTTTCAAAAACACAATATAACTCTAAAAAATCTATTTCCAAGAAATACGAGATAGATTTTTGGTGTATAAGCTATTAAGAGTATTTTTGAAAAAAAAATTTGAGAGTGTATAGAGAAAATTTGGTGGTGTATTTAGAACACCTCGGTTTCTTTTCACACTCTAAAATATTTCTTTCAAAAATACCTATTTATAAAATATCAATTCTATCATTTAATAAATTATAATTTTATCCTTTTTATACCCTGTGTTTAACTCTAAAAAATTCATTTCCAAGAGCTTTAAAAATCTCTTGAAAATGAATTTTCAAAAAAACTTCAAAACTCTCGAAAATGAATTTGTTAAATCTTTTTAAAGTTCTCAAAATTTTATTTTTGAGAAATACAATATTGACAAAAAAAAAAAAACTTTACACTTCATTCACATTTCATTTAACATATAAGGTTCTCATAATTTCTTTTTTTCAATAAGCTTTCCAAACTTTAAGAAATAAAATTTTAAAAGCCTTTTTAAAATTTTCAAAAATTTATTTCAAGAACAATGATTTAGACAAAAAAAAATTTCATAAAAACCTTAACTTTCATATTATTTTATCTAATTAATAAACAAAAATCTTGAAAATTTACCTACAATAAATGGAAAACAATAAAAAAAAACTTATGATTAAGGATTGATTGATATTTTAGAATTAAGTTTAAATTGAATTTGAATCGGGAGTGAGAAAATAAAAAAAAAAAAAAAGAATGAAAAGGGTAGAATGAAAAAATGTGATGTCGTTGGGATAAGATGTATTTTTAAAAAATAAAAAATTATATTTTAATTTTTTGGTATTTAATAATAAGGTGTAAAAAGTATTTATATAGGTGTAAATAGAATTTCCCTTGCAAGAAAACGTGTTGGAATTTGTGGGGGTCGCTTTGCCTCTTTGTGGTCAGTTATATACCCATCGTTTGGCTAAGTATTTTCTGGAAGGAAAAGAACCTTCTTTTTTTCGTTGTTCACGTACGGCATAATCACATGGTTAAAGTGAAATTCATTTAGAAAACAAACTACAAAATGTTGAATGAAACTAGTTCATGTCATTCAAAATGTATGGAGGACCATGCAACTTTTATTTTCTAATTTCGATTGAAAAATTATATCCCATGCTTGCTTTTCGTTTTTACTATATTATTACTCGATAAAATAATAATAATGATATATTAAATCTTAATCATAATCTTTAATATTGCGAAATTTTGATGTTTGATATCAATAGCCATACTTTATCACAAGGTTGAGGAATAATTTTTCAAAGATTATGATATTATGTTACAAAATAACTATTCATCTAAATGTAAAAATGAATTCAAACATCAATAATCAGTAATTAGTATGATTTGTTAATATAATATTTGATTTATAATTTTTTAAAAAAATTTATATGAATATGTTATTCCATATTAATATATATCGCTTTCATTTAGATTATATCAAATAATTATATTATTGTAAAAATCAATTATTTATTATATATCATATGTAATGATTAAATAATAAAAATTATTTTATACCATAAATAATTTCATACCATTCTTGCTTTAATCTTAAATATACAAATAAAAATAATCCAAACTTAGGAGTCTAATAAATGAATGATTAAATTCCTTTTCTCGAAAAAGAAAAAATAAAGGAAATTTTAAAGAGTTGAAAGGCCACTTAATTAAACACTTGAGCCCAAATGGACACAGGTGACAAGGAGGGCATTGTTAATCATCGAAGAATCAAAAACCTTGCTGGACTTGGACTTAGAGTCTCATTACAGCACTATTTCCACCCAATTTCTTAACTATCAATAAACCGTTTGCTTTCAGATTTGTTCAGAGTTCAAAGCCCGCAAAGGTCATTGACATCACTCTTACAACTAAACTCTGGTCAACCTCAGTTCTGCCATTAAACCAATTGGGAAACAATAGTCTGTACGTCTAGTACAAGCTCCCCACTTTTTCAATGTCTCTGCCACCTTAGATCCACCTGTGATCAATTTTTTTTCCCTTCTTTTTGGTTTACGATTATGGGAATTGTCAATTATATTGGGTTCGGAACCCTATTGAGACCATTGACTCTTAGCGTGCCAAAGCCTCTGGTGGATTTTGCTAACAAACCCATGATATTGCATCAGGTTTTCTTTTCTTTTTCTTTTATTTCCGTCATTGTCTTTTAGTTTACTTTTGTTGGTGATTTTATATGCCTTATTGACTTGAAATTTTTTTTAGATTTTTCAACGACAGGTAATCCTGTTTACAATAGATTTAAGATTCATTGAGACAGAGCTTTGTTTACAAGATATTTTTGATGATTTTATAACCTTGACCCTTTTTTTTTTCTTCTCTCTAGGAAGCTATTACATAGGCAGTGAAAGATGACTTAAGTTCTATGCTAACAAAGTGTGAAGCTTTATGTTGATGTGTTAAACGTGTGAATCATGCATAGTCTTTTTTTTTTTTCTTTTCCTACCAGAGTTAAGCTCTCAAAGCTATTGGAGTTACTGAAGTTTTTCTGGCCATCAATTACCAACCAGAGGTGACATAGAAGGGGCTCTTTTTATGGCTGAAAATTTCATGATGATAACAATATGTAATTGACTTTTTTTATTAAGCTTGTTTTTATAATCCTTGATAGGTTTTTCATCCTAATTTTGTAGCAGGTTATGTGGAATTTCCTGAAAGAATTTGAGAAAAAGCTGGACATTAAAATCACCTGCTGACAGGAGACTGAACCACCGGGCACAGCAGATCCCCCAGGTCTGGCTAGAGACAAGTTGATTGATGGATCTGGTGAGCCATTTTTTGTCCTCAATATTGATGTAATAAGTGAGTATCCACTAAAAGAAATGATAAATTTTCACAAGGGTCATGGAGGAAAAGCTTCCATTATGGTGACGAAGGTAAAGTGGTAAACTGGATTTAGAGTTCTTCGCCTTAGTCAAGGACTAAACCATTTTGACTTACTAAAAGGATCTTACTTTTGTTTCCAGGTGGATAAGCCATCAAAATATGGTGTTGTGGTTATGGAAGAAACTACAGGCAAAGTTGAAAAGTTTGTTGAGAAACCAAAGATATTTTTGGAAACAAAATCAATGCTGAAATCTACTGTTGAAGCCATCTGTTTTAGACCGAATTGAACTGAGACCCTCCTCAATTGAGAAAGAGGTCTTCCCGAAGGTTCTGGATGGACATAGGACAACCAAAGGATTACATTACTGAGATTGTACCAGGATTCCTTGCGTAAGAAATCCTTTGCACAATTGGCAGCTTGATCTTACATTCTTGGAAATGTTTTGGTGGACAAGAGTGCTACAATTGGCGATGGTTGCCTCATTGGACCTGATGTAGCCATTGGTCCAGGATGTATCATAGAGTCTGGGGTAAGGTTGTCCTGCTGTACTATAATGCAGGAGTTCGTATCGTGAAGCATGCTTGCATCTCCAGTAGCATTATTGGTTGGCATTCCACTGTTGGAAGGTGGGCTCGGGTGGAAAACATGACAATCTTAGGAGAAGATGTTCGTCTCGGAGATGAAGTTTACAGCAACGGGGGTAATGTCCTGCTTCACAAGGAGATAAAGTCTAGCATTTTGAAGCCAGAAATTGTCATGTGATCACAAGTTTGAATTTGGAATGAGCTTTTGAGAGTTCAATACTGCAATCTGGTTGTCTACCTTGTTCTTTTTTCTGCTTTTCTTTCTTGTTCATTAGGCAAAATTCCAGTTGGAATAATTTTCAAGGGATGAGTGCTGATAGGTTTGTAGACTCAGAGAGCAGCAGGCATTTTGTTACCGGAGGACATGTTCTTTTTGGTGGATGACGGGATGTAGAGGCAACCTTACACATTTGTGAGGGAGAAATCTCATTTGTTTGGAATGCTATTCACCAAAAATCAAGAAAAAAAAAAAAGGAAGAAATATAAACACAAATATAGGACATTGTATACACACAAGTTATATGCTTGATTAGGTTTCAAGCTAATTGCATTTGTAATCGTTTTCGGTATTGTGGAGTGGCATGATACTGTTTTGACAGAGTTTGTTCATTCTTTAGATGCCACATCGGGCATTAGCGTTGGTACTTTGGGTCATGTTTGGTGCATTGAATAATGACTAGAATAAAATAATAATTATTTTATTTTATGTTTAATTTGTATCTAAATAAAAAAAATTATAAAAAAAAAATTAATCATCCTCTTGTATAAAATAATTTAATCATTCTAAAGTGAAAAAAATTATTTTTAATCCATGAGATTGAATTTATATCTTTTATTGTATCTCTTATTATATCTTTAAAAATTATATTAATAATTTAAATTATATAAATTTAAAAAAAATAATTTTGATCAATAAATAAATTATTTTATTTTAATTTTTGTATATATCAAACATAAAATAATATAAAATTATTTAATCTTATCCTACTTGTAATATCATCTTATTTTATCTTATCATAATTTTATGTATCAAACATAACCTTAATTGATTATTATATAACCTACCTCATCCATGTTTTCTTCAGGATGATCTCAACAGCTCAGGAAAATAGCAAGATTTCCTAGATGAAATCTAAACCAACTTCATATTTTTTAAGCGTATGACAAATTTTTATGTAGGAATAAGGTTTGATGGATGTTGCTGCTTATCTTTTGACAAAAAAATGACACTACTCCGGATTAAACGAAATGTGATGTCTGTTGGAAGATGAAAGAAAAGCAAGACCGATTTTAGATTTGTTTTGTTAATGATTGAAATAGGTTGAGAACAAGTAAGATTTGAATGAACTTGAAAACTAAAGCAAAAAATCCTTAATGTGCACAGGCCAAACTTCTCCAATTCTGCAACATTGTAAAAAATTAAGGGCATGGGGAAGAAAAGGAAAATGAAGCATTTACTATTATGTGCGTATATGTCCAATGTTATGCATGGGAACCCCCGAGTCCTTTAGAAAGAGGCTAAGATCCAGAACATGACATGAGATGAAATTGCGATCAGAACCCACGTGATAAATGCCAAAATTATCGATATTTCGAATTGCCTGCATGGGAGATGAATTTGAACCCTGCACAAGTCCAAGTCTCTTGCATACAGGACTATAACCCCTGCTGATGAACATGCAGCTGCCAGTGATAACATGGCTGTAACCTGCTGATTGAAGAAGGATTAGCCAGGTGATGTACAATTTCGTCCCAAGAGTTTCAAGGAGACAAAAAGATTCCCAAAAATTAAAGCAGCATGTAGGAAGAACTGATTGAAAACTAATAAGACTAAATTCTGATTACCTAACTAACAATTACTAGCAAGTAGCACCACTTTAAAAAAAAAAATTTTAAGCAAAATGAATAGAGAGTTCATATAATGATTATGAAGACAGTGATCTTGCATGGATGTAGGATTGTACTCTATCATTATTGAAAAATGAGAGCACATGGTCAATAAAACTTGCAATATAGCATATGGAAGAGCTGTATTTGATATGATAACAACTAATTTACACAGTCATGTAAACCACTAATTAAATCACAAAGATATAAACAGCCTGAACATGATGAAATATGGGGGAAGATAAGTGATAACTGATATGCAATATGACAAAATACCGCAAAAAGCAGGCAATTTATGGTCCTGATTTACATTAATGCCCATGCATCCATTTAGTGACAAAAGGAGATTAGAGATGATTCTTAGAGAAAGTTGCATACCAAATCACCTACAACAAATAGGCTCACTAGAACTGGATTCTGAAGATCTCTCTTTCTCCTCAAAGCATAAACATCAAGACAGGCAAGTCCAAAGCTCCATAGCAGTTGAAGCCCCATAGACGCAATCAAATAACTGAAACAGAGAACATTATAAACAAAAAATAACAATTATTACAGTGCATTTCTATTCTACTTTAACCCTCCTGCCCACTCCATCCAACCTAACCTCCCTTTCCCCTTTTTCCAAGGGATATAGTATGGTGAAAATAAGAATAGAAACTATAAGATCCACAACCAATTTATTTTGCAAAAAGCAATATGAGAGATAAGTGTAAATGCTACTTTACATCTAGTCAAAAGAACTGTGTTCAGCATTTTCACAAAAGAAAACCAAATTCAGTGAGACTACAAAAAAGGCCTAAGAAACAAATTACATCAAAGTTGCATGTTTAAAAGATCATACACGCATAAAAGAAGACTCACAAAGAGATTACATACTTTAAGTCAACTATGCATTCAAACTTATATTATACATGTGTCTTGAATGTCAGTGAGACAAATGAATGCCTCTGTTATAGACTCTATCACTATAAGCAGACACAAATCTTAAAATTAAGTGAATTGGGGAACAGCCACCACTGCACTACGCACAGTAGCAGAAAAGCTTCATAGAATTCTGTTCATTTTTCCTGCTGTTATGCCTAACACAGGCACTCGGTTCCAAAAAAAATTGCTATTACAAGAACAATAACACACTTTAAACAACCAACCTCCAAATATTGCACCTCAGACATGTCTATGCTTATGTTAGCTCAACTGTGGTAATATTATTAGAGGGGTAGATGAATCCTTCCGCTTAACCAAGTAAATTGGCAGTTGCTAATTTGCACAACTTCATACTCAGCTGAAAAACCAATTTTGGAAGAATTGGTTGTCCAAAGGTTTATGCAAGGAATCTGTACGCTTCTCTGAAGGTTTAAATCAAGGCTTCTAATTTCTCATCCAACTGCCATTACAAAATTGAAGGTAGCAAATGCTCATGCCTTTTCATTTTATAGTGCAAAAACACAAAACTCAGATTTGACATTAAACCCTCTTAGATCAAAGCTTCTCGACTGGCATATGGCAAATGAAAGCATAAAAACTTGGGCCCAAAATTGAGCTAAACTTAAAAATGAAAAGGTAGTTTTTTTACCCACTCCTCATGCACATTCCCAAACTAGAAATCTAGAAAACTTAAACATCATCCAATAAATTCAAACCAGAAACACTAGAATAGCAGAAATAGCTGCACAATTCATTTAACTGTTACTACTATCAAACATATTTGCATTAACAACACATACCACCTTATAACATGCAAAGATGTAATAATCCACATGTCCAAAATTCAGGTCCAACTTCACCTTTCACTTTTCCTATTCTTTCTACCTGTTAGGATTCATCCATAGTTTTGCCAAACAAGTTCTACTCCCAAGTTTGACTGATCAATGTTACTCCGATCATTTTAAACTAAAATTTTGTTAATGATTAACCTGAGAATATTTGAAACAATGGCAGCAAATAAAAGAAGATTTAAATTTATAATATAACCCCAACCAAAAAAAAAAAAAAAACCCATTAAATTAAACTGTAAAATTTTGAGAGCAGAACCAAAAGTAGAAAAAGGAAAAATAAAAGTACCAGAAAGCCAGTGTAGGGTAGAGAAGAATTAGAGGGCGGAGACCATTGGACTGCAATGAAGCAGCAGCAAATGCACTTTGGGTTATCCTTAGGGTTTAACCCCACTTCACCGTTCCCTGGACTTCCTTATCAAGTCCCTTCATCCTGCTTTCTTCAACCAGAACGCCCCGCCACCCCTTCCCGCCCTCCTCCCCTAAAAATCAAAGGCCCTACCTTTTTTAGAAAAAGGAAAGAAATCTAGAATTCTTAAGCGTTTTCCATTAATGGGAACTCAAATCCAGAGTCCAAATCAGCTTCTTTTTCGATGAAAAAAAATGATAATAAAAAAAGTGGGGATTTAGGAGATTTGGAGTTTGGACCACCTCTGATAAAATCAATAGCGTAGGGTATGAGAAATACCCTGAAATTATGATTAGCTTAACATATCATAATTTATGCATTTGGTGATATTGATGGTTTTGATTTGATGAAAAGAAAGGGAAAGACAGAGAAGAAGAGTTTTTCAGTTTAGTAGGTTGAACTTCAAGTTAATGAAAGTGACTAACAGTACTAAATACGTGGACGTCTTTTTTTAGTACTTTTTTCTTTCATTTTCCCTTTTTTTAAGACAAGGGGATTGAGAGGAGATCTTTGTCCTGACCTAAAAACAGTCATTTTCTCCCTTTTTTAAAATAATATATTATGAATTATCCTGTTTTTTTGAAGTTTGAACAAGTAGTTCATTCTTACTAGAATTTGACAACCTATTGTACGAGTGTTTGAAAAAATTTGTTTTCAAATATGAAAGGAAATTACTTTTAAAAAATGTTTAAGAAATGAGTAATTTTTTTTAAATGAGGTTTTTAAAGTAAAATGACATATTTATATCATTAATTTTATATTTATTATTATTATATTATAAATATATTAATACTCGTAAATTATTTTAATTTAATTTAAATAAAATTTAAATTTGACTTAATTATTGTTAAGTTAAACTTAAACTCAAATAATTATATTTGAATATCTTGTGAATTTAATTAAATTTTTATATTTTAATATATTTTTTATTTTTTAATTAAAAAATTATTATTTTATCTTTATATATATCAAGATTAAACTCAAATTTAAATTCAAATAATCAAATTTAAAGTCAACTTTCAAAATCGACCTTGTTTTTAATTTAATAAATAAATATACTCGAACGAGTTTAAGTAATTTTATATTTATTTTAGATTGAGTTTAAAAATTAAATCTTAAATGAGCTCGAGTCAAATTTTAAGTATCGAATTTTAAATTGAGTTTAAACTCGAATTGTATTGTATCAACTTGATTTAATTTAATTACATTTTTAATTATAATTATATTTAGATTTTTTATAATTTCCAACTAAATTGGTGATTGTTTAACTTTATTAAAAGTTAATTGTGATACTAATTCAATTGGATATTTTAATATTAATATAAACCAATGACTTTACTAAACGTTACTAATACTATTTAATCATTATTGAATCATTAATCTTTAAGAAAAATAGTTTGACAATTAGAATTTAAATTTCTTAAATAAGAGTCTTTCAAAAAGAAATTCTTAAATGAGAGAAGTCCCTCATTTAATCATTCAAACTTTAAAAATGAGAGAGTTTGATAACAAAAAAAAAATCTTTATATCAATTTATATATAGAGGACCTTTGAAAATTGTATAAATTTTTTTATACAAAAAGGAAAAATTAAAACTAAATTAAAAACTCTCTCCTCTTCATCACTTATTTGAAGTTTCTAGTAATGTGGTAATTCCTAAATTCACACCATGCGTTAGATTTTCGCCCTCCAATTTTGTATTTTGATATCATAGACTAATAGATTTAGTCTCTTCTTTGTTGTCCTGCAAGCCCAACAAAGAAGAAAAAAGCCACTATTGGGACTCCGATCTTAAATATTTTCATCAAAATTTCCATTTTTAAACATAAAAAGTACAAACCATGTACAGATTTGAAACAAACCAAGAAAGAAAAAACGTCCCTGGCACTTTGTAATTGCCACTTGGGGATAGTTTCCACTTTAAATCTAAAAATCTTAACAAACAACTAAAAAAACCAATGCTCTCCTGACAAATGTCAAATCTTCCAGGCATCAACCTAGAATAAGTAAAAAAACTATTAAAAGGGTTTTGTAGTTGAAAATCAGAATCATTTGAAGTTCTGTGTTTGTTTCATCTCTGTTCTTAACAACATTTGGAAGAGAATGGCAGATAAAATCAGATTCTTTGAACTGAACACAGGAGCTAAGATCCCATCTGTCGGATTAGGCACTTACGGTGCCAAACATGGTGTTCTCCAAAACACTGTCACTAATGCCATCAAGGTAACTTCTTTTTTTTCCCTCTCTCTAGGTGTGGTTTTTTTTTTTTATGATTTTCAATTGAATTACATCTGGGATTACTGTTATCTTTCTTGATCTAGGTTGGATATCGACATATTGATTGCGCTTCAATGTACAGCAATGAAAAGGAGGTGATCGTTTTTACAGAATCCATGATTATTTTCTAAGTTAACTTCGTCTTTGCTTTCTGTTGCATTTGTTTTTTTATATTATAATTATGGTAATAAGTGAACATTCATAAAATATATGGAGAACCCTGACTAGTGAATTGGGTTATGCCATCTCTTTTCTGATAGATTAATACACGCAATTTTTTGTCTAATAAACATGTTTTCTGGTTAATTCAGATTGGTTCTGCTCTAAAAAAATTGCTTAATGAAGGTTTAGTGAGGCGTGAGGATTTATGGATCACCTCCAAACTCTGGTTTGTTTGTTTGTATCTTTTTCTTCTCCCATATTTAAGTTTGGTTTTCAGCTCAGTTTTACTATCTGATCTATATCACATTGCACTTTCAGGTGTACTGATCACTTGCCTGAAGATGTACCAAAGGCATTGAATAAAACTCTGCAAGATTTGCAACTTGACTATGTGGATCTCTATCTGGTATGTGTTTACTGAATTGAAAAAACATAAGACATTTGCTTTAAAGTAAAATAGGTAAAGTCACAATACTTTTTGTACTTAAAAAGGGTCATATTGTTGCTAATTGTGATGAATTTTGAAGATACATTGGCCAGTCAGTGCAAAAAAGGGTTCAGTTGTTGTTAAGGGCGAAAACCTTACCAAACCTGACATACCTCGTACCTGGAGAGCAATGGAGGCACTCTATGATTCTGGTAGGGCTCGGGCTATTGGAGTGAGTAACTTCTCTTCTAAGAAGCTTGGTGATCTATTGGAAGTGGCACGTATAATTCCTGCTGTCAATCAAGTGGAACTTCACCCTGTATGGCAGCAGCCAAAGCTGCATGGATATTGTCAATCCAAGGGGATTCACTTGACGGTAAGTTTGTTGATTTAGCCATAAAAGCAGCATATTCTTCTCATTGGTGTGTTTAATTGGTTTGCGCAGAGGGAAACAAGCCGCCCAGGAT